GTCGGTGTTTCTTTATTCGCCCGTGTTCTTTACAACTCTCTGCCCGTATGTCGAAGTGTTTCTTGCCGGTGGTTGGAGGGTGTTATTAGTAGCTCCGATGTTTATTTGTTTCTATTTGGATTTTTTTTTCTATGTTCTATCATCGGTTTTCCTCTTTCCCATCACAAAAAGACTTACATGAATAGCCGGTACAATCACGGTGCTCTCTAAACATGAAACCGCCGACCTCATAAATCGCCTACTGTGTTTCGATAGAGATGTGGAATTTAGAACATCCATTACCGTCAGTGTCGACGTGCTATATGTCCATGGGAGTGTGTTGTCACCAGTGTCGATGTGCTATGTGATGTGTGGAATTTAGAACATCCTTTACCATCAGTGTCGATCATGTACTATATGTCTATGAGAGTGTGTTGCCACCAGTGTCGATGTACTATTTATTGTCGATAGGAGTGTGTTGCCACCAGTATCGATGTGCTATGCCATTATATGGGTGAAGAATTTGAACATCCATTACCATCTGTGTCTATGTGCTTCCAGCTCTTTACTCCAACAAATCGGAACACACGAAGCTCTTGTTTTGATAAGCTAAAGTTCCACTGGCCCGTTACACGTTAGTTAATGTGTGACTTTTGTTTTTTGTTTAGGGTTGTCGTCGTGGTTTAGGTAGTGGTTAAAACTGCATGGAGCGGGAAGTAGACGAGCTAGACAACCTATGACAGTGGACTAACTCTCTGCGATGTGTGAGTGTGTTGTGTAGATAACTAGCCGGTGTTGAACCCTCGCCCTCTGGGCTGTGATCTGGAACTTCCGCCGCTATATAACGGGGTTTTCGACGAACTGTGGGTTCAGATTTTGCTGACAGTTACAAAGATGGAGACGGAGAGACAACGTGTGAAGCCTTTCGTCGGCGACTGAAGGACCTGTCTGTCTGTCTGTCTGTCTGTCTGTCTCGCCTCATCGTCTGAGGAGAAAAGGATTTCGTGTGCCGGGTTCCGCTATTATGATTCGACCTAACGTTATTGGAGGATATTTATGTCGAGTGTCTCGGACTTTTACTGAGATGTTGCATCCCTCTCAGCCGTGATTGGCCCTGACAGGCAGGGTCGGAAAGCCCGCCCCCTAAATAGTCTAAATTGTGTCAATGGGGGCATAAAAACATGTATATATACTCTAGTTTATTGATTCTACAAGTTGGATGACTAGCTCTGGACGAGAATGGCGGGTGTGGATAGTTTCGTGAAGGAGAAGAAGAGAGATTCCTCACACTGGCGCGTCGGGTGATGTCTGTCGCTTTTGTTCACGGCTTGGACTGCAAGTGTTGCCTCCTGCTCGCTTGATCTCGGACGTTTCGGATTGTCCTGACATTTCGCTGCTCTGACGCTTGGATAATTATATAAACCTTGAACAGCTACACCCCCCCTCCCACCCCCCTTCTACTGGACTGTCTCCCCGCACTACCTGTGGCGTCATGGTGTGAGGTACACACACCTGTCAGTCTGTGGCACCGGGGGCGGTCATTTCGTATTTTGACATTTTGGATTAGGGGCCAGGATTATCGCTCTGGATTATCTATCCTTCACTTGAATATCGATCGTCCTCACAATTGTCCCTTCGAGTGCGCGCTAGGATTACCACTCAGGATTATCTATCCATCACCTGGATATATTCATCGTCCTTCACGTTTTGTCGGGCAGAGTGTGCACAAGGATTACCCCTCAGGATTATCTATCCATCACTTGGATACACCAGTCGTTCCCTCGTTTGTCGCGCCAGGATGCAGTCCATCAGGGAAGAGCTGTACAGGCAGACCACAGAGCTGCCGCTCTCGCCCAAAGTGCTGCAGCACCTCACGGTAAGGCTCTCACGCCACCATCATCTTGTTGTAAGGATTCGCTCCACATCTCATTAATTGACATAATTTAGCTACTTGCAGTTAGGGTTCGCTCCACCTGTCATGTTGACATTTAGCTACTTGCTGCTGTAAGGGTTCGCTCTACCTCTCATAAAATGACACTTTTAACTACTTGCAGTAAAGATGCGTTTATGGTTGGTGGGTGCTGTGGTGTGGTTTGCTCCACCTTTCCTATCAAACATCTGTCGTCCTTATCTCCCCTCCTCCCTTCTTGTGTTTGTTACTCTCTTGTAACACCTAGACCTAATCTATTCTTCGGCACTTATATGACCTTATTGTGTAGCAATTACCGTGTAACTCTTACTAGAACTAGACAGTAAGGATTCGCTCAACCTCTCATATTGACATTTATTTACCACTAGGGTTCGCTCTGGCGGGTGGTTGGCGGGTGCTCTAGTGTGGTTTGCTCCTTCTTTTCTATCAAACGTCTATCGTCCTTAGTTCCCATCCTTCTTTTTTTGTTTTGTTATTTTCCTGTAACACCTTTAACGTCGCACTCGGCACTTGTGTGACCTGGTTATGTTGCAAGTGCCGTCAATTAAAACTCATATCGTACTACGACTAAGGATTCGCTTCACCTTCACCTTTATCTTCTTTTATTTTTAACCCCCTGCACGTTGTGGACTATTCTACGTGTATCGTTTTGTCGTCTGTCTCGAGCCCATGTGACAGTACACAGATAGTCCAACCTGTTCTAACGACCTCTTCCAACCCCCCACCCCCACC